TCAATTTTCCCTAGTATTGTCCCCTAAAGACATAAACAAAGGACAAGGTCAGACCAGTCAGTTGTAGTCCTTATTAGTGGCTTTGATAAGAGGCTTTGGGGGAAGAGGTTGAAACTAATGGCTGTAATGAAATTTGGGGTTCTGTTAAGATTTCATTTATCTGCACTATCAGTCCCCCTATGCAATATATCTGTTCCGTGTGCCTTTGCACAGGGTTTACATATCATAGTAACAGCTATTACTGAAGCCTTGCTAATTTCTTACATTATGTATAAAAAGCTGTGAAAATTACTTTTAGGGAACAAAAAATATGAACAATGATGATTGCTCCATATATTGACTAAGGCAGTGTTGGAAAAAAATAGCACTAAAAAACAAAATACCAGAGTTAAAAAAGATATACAGTAGTTTTCATTTGTATTAATATGTGATTTTTTGCCCTCCCTCAATTTAGTAAAGATACATGAGGTCTTAAAAAGATTTTTTTAATCAATATATTTTAATCTAGAATGTTATACCTTTTTGACAAGTTCATAGAGAAAAGGAACATCAGAATGTTAATTTTCATTTTTAAATGTTGTGAACTGAAATTTTGCAGTTTCTTTGGGAATAACGATATTTCTTAATTTTTTTTAATAAAACTAAATAAACGAAAACCTTTTCTTAATAGTCTTCATGCTATTTATGAGTCTTAAGTATATGTTAACTAGTTTCAGATGTGTTTTGTTCTCTGACTCAAAGTCAGTCCTTTATTTTATAAAAAGAAATTGTGTAATTAGTACTTAATTGCTTTGGATATTTTGGGTATTTGGAGGAGAGGTAATTCAAAGGCCAGAGAAATTAAACTTTCACAATGTTCTTTATGCATGTATAATTCCTTTTTAAAAACAAACCCCTAATGACAGGCCTGACAAGTTAAAAATAAACAAAGACCTGGGTTGTTTTTATACAATTGAAATAATAGTAATTTTAAAGATTTTTTTAAATTAACATCAATTTATATCTTTGGATGCAATTATATTAATTTTTTCTTAAGTTATATTGGGGAGAGGATCATTGGAGTGCTAGAAATCAAGATTATCTGGTCTATCTCCTCTTCAAGCAGGTATTGTCTAATATCTGACAGGTATGTACTGTTCTTACAAGAGGAAAGTAAGAATCCTCATATACTTCATAAGTATGATACATGATCAAATTTAAATATGTCCCATAATGAAGAGTGGTAGCTTGGTTGACGTGGGCTCTTATCCTGTATCTTTAACAGTTTGAGAAGTCTAGGTCTTGTAACTTAACTTCTTTAGGCCACTTTTATTATGAATAAATCGGAATATTAGGCTAGTAACTCTAAGACTTAACCAGCTCAGAAATACTGTGCTTCATGAGACAGCCATTATCTAAAAACTCTGCATTTTTTTTCCTAGAGACTAAGAAGTCTGCTTTTAAGTGATTATATTTTATATTTATTTTATTAGTGAACACATGAACTAGGACATTAATGAGCTTAGTAGTTACAAATTACATTGGATTTAAAAAGAATATACCTAAACCAGAAGAGCCTTACTTCATATCTGCTAAATTCACTGAATAAGGTATAATGCAGAACTTGGAGATTGATTTGTGAGGAAATTATACTAAAAGTTCCCTCCTGTATTATTGACCTAATCACCCCCCATTCTAGCTAATATTATTCTTATGTTTTTTTCTAAATCATGATCTTTTTTTCTTGAAGAAAACAACAGATTACTTAAACATCTCATTTCTGGTTGGGAAATTCAAAGAATCAAAACTAATTACTTAGCTCAAATACATATATATGAAAGTACTAATAGAACCTGTATGAAATGCATGATTTTCAAAGAAAATATAAATTGGGAAACTTTCTATAGAAGAGAGAAAAATCTGGACAGATTAGTAGACATAAAATAAATTGGAAAAGTGACCAAAGAGATGGCCCAGCAATAGCACCAGACACAGCTTGGGTTTTGTGGAGAAATTCTTCCCAGACCTTAAGGAATGCATAAGTCCAATGTTGTTGATGACCCACTGACTTTAAAAAAATAATAAATAAAAGTGAGATTCCCATCAATGTTAACAAAAGGCACCCAGTCCCCTCCTTTACAAATGAGGTGAACCTTAGGTTCAGACATTAGGGACCAAAGATAGAAAATAAACAGCAGGAATTATCAAATAAAATGAACTTTGGGCCAAATTTGGTACCCTCTCTGTTTTACCTCTGCACAGGGAGTTAAATGGGAAGGAAAATTATTGCCAGTCTAGGAAAGCTTTGAAGAAAACACAGTTATTCTTAATATACTTGTATTTTATTCAGTTATCCTTTTCAGCATTAAGTGTGTATAGAGAATATGCTGGTGATGAGACTAGGATGTTAAAAAATGAGAAGGAAAGATTCCTGTCCTTAGAGAAACAGCATCAAGTGCAGGATATGAAAGGCAGGCCCATGCACAACGTACAGGGAGCAAACAGAACAAGCATGAAGGGAAGTAGCATGAACTGATCACTGAGGTGCATGACCTCAAGGTCCCAGAGTCAGACCCTGGCATGTCAGCCCAGTTTAAAATCTATACCCAATGGTTTGGATAATGGACTACTGGTAAGAAATCTTTAAGGGTTTGAGGAATCAAGAAAGAAGCATAAGGCAGAGGCCAGGAAATCAGGCCATATTGTTGGGGCTGACCTTAAAAGTCTTCCAAAGACGTGATCAGTGATAGAAACTTCTCCTGGGGCCTAGAGCAAGAGAGCAAAGCCACTTGTTCACAAGTAGACTTCCTGTACTTGTTCTGTTATCTCCTCTGAACTTTGCCAAGTTGTTTCCTCCTCCTTTCTTAGGAAAACTAAAATGAAAGAAAACAATGAAGGTTGAAACAGGTAATGTAAGGCAGTGAGAGTTTAGTAAATAAAGGAAGAAATGTTTCAGATGCTTGGAATAACCTTATTATAAAAAATACAAGTCTGATATTACTGGTGATGACATAGACTTCTAGATGCTGTCCTTTGGGTACAATTACTATTGGTTTGATCAACTTCATATTGAGTAAGTGAGAGGGAAGGAGAAAAGGAGTATGTGTGTGTGTGTGTGTGTATACGTATGTGTGGAAGGGGGGAGGAATGAATATGCACCAGTGGTATTTTGAAGTTCTCCACAAAATAATAGAAAATTTCCCCAGGCTCATTTGATGTTCTGTGTTCAGATTTTAGGGCTTGGGTTTTTAAGTTTTCACATTAAGCAAGTCATGCAGTTTAAATTGCAGGTATTGTACTAGTAATTTTGGTGCAGTGAAGAGAAGTGTGTATCTGCTTTTAAAGGGATTTCTCTGTGTACATTTGGATTGCTTAGTGACCTTTGAAATTTTGTTTTGAGCTGCTGTCAGAAACATAATCATTTTTCTTTCTGAAACAGATTTTAGCATCTGCAAAGGTTGATCAAGCTAGGATAGTTTTAATAAAATATTAATCTATCTTTTTTAATGTCAACCCAGCTTTTAAAACTGTTCATCACCTATCTAAAACATCAGCTCAAGGCAGTGGAGCTTATTTTAATAAATGCCTTTTCCATTAATGTTCTTCTTGTTGTGGTCAAAGTACAGTTAGAGAACAGATTTTTTTTTAATCTTATTCATCTATAGCCCAGTTTCAAGTTTCTCTTATTTTAAAATTGATGTTACTTTATGTTTTATTATGTGAAGAGTTTACTTGCAGTTTTTTTATATGTATATTTCAAGGAAGGAAAATTGTTTCAAATTCTGGTATCAGTCCTTCAAAATCTGGATAGTGAAAGATTTTGACTTTTAACAAAATTTAATTTAATATCTACTTAAATATGTGTCTTGTTATTAAAAAGGTTATTTACGTTTAAAATGCTGACCTTTCAAGATATACACAAGAGTGTTCTAAAACAGTGTTTCTGAACATTGGCCATGAAACCACTGTCTTGGGCTGACAAATGGATTGGAAATAAGCTACCCAACACTGGGAATGGGCCATTAATTTTAATCAAAGGTGATGCAGGAAGGCGAATGGGATGCATGGCAATGTCAACAGCCCAGTAGGTGTTAAGAGACCACACAGCCTTCCTTGTTACTTGGTTGGGCCATTAGTTGAGGTTGGGTGAAGACAGAAAGCCATGTCTGGAATTGAATGACCAGGTCACTCCAAAATCTAATGGAGAACTCCCCATTTCTGAAATCACATTGTAATGCCATTAGAAGTCAAGGACAGCATTTAGAAAATATTGAAGGATCTTTTTTTTTTTTTTTAATCAAACACCTTGTGAGTTTTTTCAACTTTGTCAAGCTTCCTGTTTTCCTGCTTCCTTCTGAATGGATCATTGATGTTTACAAAGGATCAAGAAATTGAACAGACTTAGGGGAAAAAATCTTAAAGCTTGTTTGCTTTTCAAAATTACATACTGTTGTAAAATGCTAATAAAATGCCCAAAACAGTGACATGCCAGAGGAATTAAGCAGATAATTAATTCTTTCTAGTAATCTCATTGTCCTTTTCTTGTGTGTAGGAATAGTTTTGCTAGTTGAACCAAAACTTTCTTATCGGCTTTAATGAATGTATTTGTTTCATAATTGTAATGGCCAATGTACTTGGGCCTTGTTGTAAATTGTCAATATTAGCTGATAACATTAGTGATTACTGATGGTCATAGTAGTGAAATTCTTTTCTTTCAATTGGTAAGTATATATTTTTGTTTTGAGTATTTTCAATTACAAAAAAAAGTGGCTCTATGACAGCTTGGATTAATGATGTTTATAATAAAGACATAAAAATGCAAAAGGAACAAAGAAGCATTTTGTATCTGTGCTTCAGGTTTATTAAGAAAATCATTTACTCTGACATAGTATTGCATGCATAAGAAAGATATGTATGACTGCATTAGTAATTTTTACACATATTTAAGAAAGAAAAGCAATTATGTTGGTGTCTTGTTTATGGAATACTATTGTAAGTAATAGTATTTGTTCTTCCTGTAGATGAAGATCAGCTTCGTGCAAAGGGTTATGACAAAACACCAGACTTTATTTTACAGGTTCCAGTTGGTAAGTTCTTAAACTCACTTATTTGTTTGTTTATAGGGAAAGGGGATATGTTTTTCCATTCCTTTAATATGTTAAGATTAGCAAATGTCACCAAAGATTAGCTTTATAATACTTTACCTGTATGGGTGAAATAGTTGGAAAAGATGATTTTGAAGTAGCAGAAAATAATAGGTTCAGAAGGAATCTGTGCCATAAAAACTTTACATATATTTAAGAAATGGGTTGCCATTTTCACCTCATTTCTTCAAATTTAGAATTTTTAAAACAGTTCTGTTGAATAGCCAGACTCACTTTGGTCTGCTTGACATTCCTCTTGTCAAGTTGTAGAACAGCAGTCTCAGAACTAGGGAAGGGAGTTTCAAAGAGTGTGATGAAAATAAAAGCATGTGACTGTAGCATAAATGTTCCTTGTGATGAACATGCACAATGCGTTGTTTCATAATTACATCCATAGTTGAAGGTAAAGGGCTAACCCTCTGCTCATTAACGTGAAGCATAGAGAGGCCTGTGCAGAGTTCAGAATTTTCAATCTTCCCTTCCCCTCACTATGTATTAGTAATGCTTTGTCCCTTAGCTGTAGAAGGGCACATAATTCACTGGATTGAAAGCAAAGCCTCATTTGGTGATGAATGTAGCCACCACGCCTACCTGCATGACCAGTTCTGGAGCTACTGGAATAGGTAAGGTCCCATTATTTTTCTCTTAAGATAAACGATACTCAGCTGAAATCTCATTAGAAAAAATATTTTATTTAGCTGGTAAAAATGCTAGTAGCCTTTTTTTCCCCTAGTAAATATAGGGTCTTGATTAATGTATTCATTTCAGATCACTGAAACTTCTCTGCTTTCATAATGTTGCTTTATTTTTTAAAACTAAAAATCTCTGCATAAGGTCACAATTAGTATATACTCTATTCCCTATTTTATGGTGATAACATTGGTGTCACTTAAAATATGGATGACAAGATGTGCACATTATGATATAAACACTGGATTTTTATCATTTTGATGTGAAATTTGTACTTACTGTGAGACCATAAAAAATAATTTATCTTCAACTCTCTAAAATATCCAAATATGAAAGATGAAAATAATTTACCTTCCAACAGTAGAAAACAGTTTATCTACCAACTTATATCAACATTCTTGAAGAGATGATAATCTGAACAATTAAGAAAGCTAGTGTGAGGATAATACTATTTTATTGAGTACCTACCATGTGCCAGGTCCTGCAGACTGTTTCAATTAATCCTCATAGGGAAGTTAGTTTTTTTCCCCCATTTTGCAAATAACTAAGCTGATTCTCAAAGAAAGAAAATAATATTCCAGTTAGCTGGTTACCATGGGCTTGCATTTATTTCTCTCACTCCCAAGCCTGCAATATTTCCAGCACAGTGCTAATTTCCTGTATAAAGCAATTATTGAAACTTCACTTTTTTCTATTATTCCAGGCCTAAATTGTCATACCCCACATTTTTTTCCTCTTAAGATAGGAGGTATGTCAAGTGTTAACCTTCCTAGATTAACTGCGTTTTTTGGTCACTGACCACCAGGAACAATACGGAAATAAGATTACATTGGGCCAGAGCATTAAGGAATGAGACAGTAGCATCTGTGGACAACAGCCTTGTCCTGGAAAAGAAACAGTGGCAGGCTATGGAATTTGGTATTATATTGTTACTCAGCTTTACAAAAGGCCAGGGGACCTCGCCTGTAGCAGCTGTGCTAAACTAAGCCTACTTTTTGCCATGGTAACAATGATCATGACAAAATGCTGAATGTAATGGCTTTCTTGATTTTCTTGTGTAATTGTGCGTAGCATCCGAGCTTTACTTTACAGGGATGGAGGAGGAAAGTGCAAGATGTTTTAGAAATCAATGCTGCTTCAGCGTTTCCCGTGTTTTATTCAGCCATTATTCAAATTAACAGTAATGTGGCAAATTGAATTTTAGTTTTTTAGCAATTTTATGATTAGTTTGAAATAGTAAAGAAAGCATCATTTTTGATAGTATAGGGAAATCAATGACAAGAAAATGAAATTGCATAAGTTTGCCAAAGGATTAAAAAAAAAAAAAAAAAGCAATTGAGTAAACCAGTATGTTTTGAGACTATTTCCCCTTCTTTGGAACTGGTTAAGTCTCTTCTGAGGAACAGTTATAAATTGAATCCTATATAGTAGAGCTTACTTAAAAATTCCAAAAGTATGTATTAACTTCAAAACAACTCAACTTTTTACTGAGGCTACTATGTTCCTGGCACTCACCATTTGTAGGTATATTAAATAATCTAGTCACTTATGTGATAAACCTATGGATTCCTGATGTAGATAGAGGGGGTCTGAGGAATAGACAATTTAATAGTGTCCTTTGGATTGGATTTTAATATTATCTTGTTTCATTCTACTTTTTAACCTTCTAAGATGTTTTACTTAAACTACTGTTGAGTAACATTCCATGAACATATTCTTTGAATATATACCAGACAAGGGAGCATTTTGACAGGAGAACTTAGTATTGGTCCATTTGTTAAAGTTTAGGATCCTACTGTTTTGCCTCAACAGCTCACATAGCAGCTGATAAAACTCTTCAGAGTTGGAAGAAATTCTCTCCCATCTATAGGTAGACTGTCAAGGAAGCTTCTGATTGACATTTGGGCTAATTGTTTTATTCTTGTGATAAGGCTGTAGTTGACATAAAAACTAATGTTATACAATTGTCACACTCTTTTCAGATTAAAGATTAAATTTTACTGTGTGATAGTTTAATTAATATTTATAGAATAATGCATTTCTGTAAACTCATTTTTCCAACTAAATTAATGCAGAGCCTCTAATTTTTATATTAATATTTCTGTAAGAACTTTTTTTCATAAAGTATTGATATACTGATCTCAGGCTTTCAGTAACATTGACATAGCATATCACTCCTTCTTTCTTTATTACATTTTTTTTTCTTGGCTTCCATAATATCATTTTCTTCTGAGTTTCTTTCCACCATGCCAGCAGCATAATCAGTCTCCTTTGCTAGTCTTCTTCCTTTTCCCAGTCTGTAAGCAAGAGGGCTCTGGAATTCAGTGTCTACCTTGTTTTCTTTTTTCATCTAAACTCAGTCCCAAGATGATCCCTTAGAAATTTCAGTGGCTTGTATGGCTTTACATACAATCTTTATGTTGGTACTTCTAATTTTTATCCCCAGCGCTAACATTTTCCCTTAGTACAAATTTCTTAGTCCAATCAATATCTCTTCTTGGGTATCAAATACATCTCTTATATTTAACATGTTTAAAACCCACCCGTTGGTGTTTTTTTTTTCTCCCTAGCTTGTTATTCTCCCATTTCCCCTCAGTTCAATTAATGGTGCCACAATTTTCCCAGATAGCTAACTCAAAAACCTAAGTATTATCCTGGATCTATCAGCAAGTTCTTTCAGCTCTATCTTACCACATCTCACGTTGTATTATTTTTTATTGACTCACTTGCTGTTGCCTCAGCATCTGTTGTCACCTCTTGAGCAGTTGTTAAAGCTTTCAGACTGATCTCCTTTGGTTCATTCTTATAGTCCTGTGGTCAGGTTTTCTTACCCAAGTCTTGTAAAATATAAATCATATAGTGTCATTTCCCTACTTAACTCTCCAGTTGTTTCCCATTCATTTAAATAAAATCCAGACTCTTTACCATGATATTCAGTGCTCTTTTGCATGATCTTTCTCCCTTCCAGCCCTAGTTCTCTCCATATATACTTCACTTTCTCTCTCTGCTCCTAATTTACTTCTTCCATCACACTGCCTTTCTTGCACCTTATTCCTTGTTTCTACTCTCTGACTAATCCTTCTAGCTAGGAATTTTCTTTACTTAGATCTCCACATAAATTTCATGACATTAAAGGCTCTGTTCAAGCTTGTGCTCCACAGAGGGACAACCCTTACCATCTAGTCTAAAATATAAAACCCTCTTTGGCAATTTTTTATCTCTTTTCTCATTAGGCTCTTCATAATACTTTTTGTGAATAAATGAGTAGAATGTAGTTGGAATCATTTAGAAAAGCACAAGTTTGCTTATTTGAATAAAAGCCTCTAACTGAGTTTTTCCTTTTATTTTACATTTCAAATTATTCTATGTAATCTGTCCATCATTAACTTTAGAAATTTGCCCTGGCTAGTTCACCTTGAAATTTCTTCATTTTGCAGTGCAATCAAAATCAGATATAATGACTAGGATACATAAACTGCTTCTCTCATAGGCAGACCTGCATCCCAGGTATGAAGCTTAACTATATAACTCCTCAAAATTTTTCAGTCTCCACTTCTACAGAGTTAAAAGAAATGGTGTAACTCTAGTAAGCAGTGATTAGATCACAGGATATAGTTCCAGATTGTATAGGGTTGCCAGAAAACATATTTTCTTATGAAAATCAATACAGAAATACTTTGTCGTCCTACATATGTAATCATAAAGTGAATTTTATTTGACAATTTGACCTACATTACTAGATATAACTTATAATTTTGAGATAATGACAGAGAAGAAAACCAATTCTATAATCTAAGGCCAGATTACATACATGGTTTCTAACATATGGCCTTTTAGAGAAGCAGAAGAAACTTTAACTTTCAGTGATTAAAGATAAAATGGGTCTATTTAGTAAAAACACTGAGTGACCTTTAATGACCAAGAAAGAACCAAATGCTACAGAGCTCATATGGGGTGTCCAACAACTACCCATTGAGAACATGTAAATGGCTACTACAAGTTCAGACCCTCCATCTGCTCTTCTGGGCACACTCAGGCATATTGTTATCAGTGGTGACTATTAAGAGCTGGAGCGCAGTTTGTAGATATATCTCTCAAAGAAGATCTGAGCTGACTGACTGCAAAGAGTGAGACAAACTTTTCTTTGAATTTGACTTTACATCTTTGTTATCCTTAAAGTAATGGAAAGAATACTGGATTTGAATCCAGATTGTGCAACTTTCTGTTCCTATCACTGGGAGCAATTTGCTATTCGCCCAGAGTCCTTGTTTTTGACTCAAAAAAATGGGTTAATAATACTCTCCTTGTCCCGTTGTTGTGAAGATCATTTATTTAGTGCATATAAAGCAGATTCATAGTGCCTGGCAGTCAACAAAAATTGTTTTCCCACTGTCTTTTTATCCTCCATATCACTGTCTGATGGAATATAGAAGTCTTCTGATTAGATATTTTTAGTTGCCTTCTTTGCCAGATAAATTACTCAGTTAACTTTAGCATTCAACTTGGCTGAATCTTTTGGGGAAAGTTTCCTATATTCCAAGATTGGGTTTGTTGCCCCTGATGTGTTCTAATAATTTCATGGCATTTATCAAATATTGTAATTGCTTCCTTGTTACCTTCAATATTGAGTTCCATATTATCTATTTGTTTTATCCATCTTTGGCCAGAAGTTGGAAGAATGTCTGGCCCATAGTTGGTAATGCATAGATGTTTAGTGAATGAATGACTATACAAATGAATTTACTCACACTTGAAAGGCAACAATATTTTAAGCATCTGGTAAGGATTATATAAGACATAGTAACATTAAACTTTATTAGAGCCATTTTGTTTTTCATTTGGGCATGCCCCTCAAAAGGGCAGTGAGAAAAATTGTTCATTTTTCTAAAAGAGTTTTGCATATTTTTTTAGGTGTATAAAGTTTTTGCAGATA